TTCCTAAACCCCCCTCCTCCGTTCTGACACTCTCTCCTGCGTAAAAGCCTAAACTGCTAAAAAATACACAGTAAACCTCACCAAAGAGCCTTCCTTGCATCTTCTGCCTTCCTTATCAGAGTCCTTGCAGTGCTCTACAAGTGCCCCAACAAGCAGCTCTGCTCTTTAAACTTAATTTCAAACACGCCCTGCTCTCTGTATGGGCAGACTCAGCTCTAAGGTCCCCCTTCAAAGACAACATTACTCTTAAGGTATCTTCCAATCTCTGTGAAATAATAATGACTACTAGCCCTTCAAACCAGCATGCCTACCTGGTTAATTACTATTTTCAGACATGTCTCCTTTTCCCTAGTTGCCCCTTACTCTGTCACCTATCAGATTCTTCCCTTTAAAAATCTCTCCAACCAGAGGGGTATCCTTCTACTCTGATGAATGCTCTCCCCTATTAAACCTAACATGATGAACAATCTCCAGTGGAACACTAAACTCAAATTCAATTAAACTCTAAAAACATGTGTTAGGTAAATAACAATCTTGTACATGAAAATTTCGTTCAGCTGTAGCTGGACATTGGTTTTAAAAGAATTTCTTGAATCTAGGAAAATCACTGCCTTTAAAAATATTGTTTTGTAACTTGCCAAACATGGTTTGCAATTTGGTTTTAACAGCTTTCCCATTATATGGCAATGGATAATAAGTATACAGCCCCTAAGGTGGACTTTCCAATGTCTGTTTTCATGTTGCTGATTTAAAGCTAGAGTTTCATAAAAAGAAGTAGAATTCAATATTGAATAGATGCAATTTTGACCTTAATTTAGATAGAGGTATGATAAAATACCAGCACCTTCAGTCATCCAGGTATAATTTCTAAATGCAAATTTTATAAAGCAATTGAGATAAATGTGCTTAAATGTAAAGTGATCTGCACCCCCATGTTTATTGCAGCTAGACACCCTGTCTTATAAAGTTTAAAGGGGAGTGGTTAACTAGCACCTCTACCAGGTCCCAGGTGAAAGGAGGTACATCCTGGGAAGGGAGTGATTTGACTTAGGCACGAAGGTAGTGTTACACAGGGTGTGGTGGGGAGTGTGTTTTCCAGTTTATGGCCCTAATCTAACTACCTGTCTTATCCCATATTATAACTATATTTTTATTTTTATTTCTTTTTTTTTTTGTAGTACTTTTTTTTTTTTTGACAGGCAGAGTGGACAGTGAGAGAGAGAGAGAGAGACAGAGAGAAGAGAAAGGTCTTCCTTTTTGGTTGGTTCACCCCCCAGTGGCCGCTGCGGCTGGCGTGCTGTGGCCGGCACACCGTGCTGATCCAAAGCCAGGAGCCAGGTGCTTCTCCTGGTCTCCCATGTGGGTGCAGGGCCCAAGGACCTGGGCCATCCTCCACTGCACTCCCAGGCCACAGCAGAGGGCTGGACTGAAAGAGGAGCAACCGGGACAGAATCCCGCGCCCTGACCGGGACTAGAACCCAGGGTGCCGGCGCTGCAGGTGGAGGATTAGCCTAGTGAGCCACAGCGCCGGCCTATTTTTATTTCAAATGCTTTATAGAAACAGGCCTTCAGAAACTGCAGTGATAAAGAAAATGTGGTATATATACACTATGGAATACTACACAGCCATAAAATTGAAATCCTGTCTTTTGTAACAAAATGGATGCAACTGGAAAGCATTATACTTAGTGAAATAAGCCAGTACCCAAAAGATAGATACCATATGTTTTCTCCATATTCATTTACGTTTGTTCAGTAATATTAAATGTGTTCTTACTGTACAACCAGCAGTTCATGACCTAGGTATTCTACTTATGATCTAATATTCTTAGGAAAGCAGTAGAGGATGACCCAAGTCATTGGGCCCCTGCACCCACATGGGAGACCTAGAAGAAGCTCCCAGCTCCTGGCTTCAGCTTGGCCCAGCCCTAGCCATTGTGGCCATTTGGTGAGTGAGCCAGTGGATGGAAGATCTCTTTATCTCTCTGTCTCTCTTTCTGTGGCTCTGCCTTTCAAATAAACAAGTAAGTATTTTTTTTTAAAAAGTTAAAAAATGACATACAGGTTTTTTTTTACAAAGAAAGTGATGAAAAATATATGAAAAATGGTCATTTTCATTAGTTATTAGGAAACTATAAATAAGTACCATTTTATTACCTCACACATATTGGATAGTGTTAGGAAACTGGCGCAGTTGTAGCCAGGTGGCCGCATGGCCCAGCTACCTGAGCCAGGCTCCACCCCCATCCTAATGGGATTCGCTGCTCCTGCTTCCCTGCCCGCCCTCAGGCAAAGTTTTAAAAGGGCCTGTTCCTGCACACATGTTCTCTTGGCTCTGCTCTCCTGCACTCCTGGCTCTTCTCTCCTGCGCTCTCTCCTCTCTCTTGGCTCATCTCTCTACTCTATCTTCTCTCCTCTGTCTCTCTCTTATACTCTCTTTCTCTCTTTTTCCTTTGCTGCCCCTTCACTCCGGTCTGTAGGGTGTTCCCCAGTAAACCCTTTCCCTTACTCAGGTGTTTGGTGTGTTTTGCGATGGCTGACATTAATATATAACAGATAGATATACATTTTTAATCAGAAATGACAATTACTGACAAAGGTATGAAAAACAGTGGGAATTGCCAGTAGGGTTCCTTCTGTGGAAAATAGTTTTGCTGTTCCTCCAATGTAAAAAATAGAAATTATCATGTGTCCCAGAAGCTCCACTTCTATCAATAGAAAAATTGGAAACAGCTATCTAAAGAGATCCATGTGCAAGTGTATTTTTAAGCAGCAATATTCCCCATAGGTAAGTGATGAAAAGGATCCAGATGTTCAGCAATCATTTCATGGGTAAATGAACAACATACTAATCAGTGCTGCAACATAGGTGAACTTTACAACAATATACTCAATGGCACATTAGCAGGAAGGTAGGTGTGAAGTAGCAAAGAGACACACTGGTGTTACAGGGATGCCAATGTTACAAGCAACAGGTTAACCCACTGCACTACAACACTGGTCTTGCATCAGTGTGCCCATTCTTTGTGACTTAAAAGCCTGAAGTTGCAGATTTGCATGATGTCTAATTCAAAATTATATTAGCACATAACTTATCTAATAATGTAACATTTATATCAACTATTATTTTAAATTTGACATTTGGAGTTTGCAACACAGAATGCATGTGCTTTTTATTTTCTTATTTCCATAAATGACATTCAACATTTAAATCTCAAACTCCATAATTCATCCTGTTATCAGCTTTACAGAAGAGGAAATGAGGCATTGGTTTCTCCTCAAGTATAATTTTAGGAGTCTGAAAGAAATCGTGAATCCCTGGCCAGAGATTATTAATTAAAATTTAGAAATAACTGCTTTTCAGTTCTGGAAAATGTCGATCTCTTCCGCTTTACTTGCCATTTGCCTTTGTTGTCTTTTTTTAAAAATTGAATTTCTGAGTTCCCTACTACCCACTGTGATGTACGATTTGTGACCAAAAACCTATTTATGTCTTACCATCTTATCGTTAGTCACTGAACATACATTTATATCTAAGTCTTAACAATTTTAGTAACTCCAGCCATGAGGCAGAACCGCTATCCTCGTTCTCACTTTTATGTTAGTTAGGCGTTGCTAATGGACAACTTAATACATTATCCCTCATAGTATTTTTTTTTGTCTGTTCTACTTAATATGACTGGTTTAATTCTGTAATTATCACACAGTTATTCTTAAGTGTTGAAAATTAACTGAAATGTGATCCCTGTTAAACATAAGAGTGGGACTAAGAGAGGGAAGAGATGTATAATTTGGGGCATGCTCGGGCTGACTTGCCCCAATTGGTAGAGTTGGAAACATACCAGGGGATTCCAATTCAATCCCATCAAGGTGGCATGTGCCAATGCCATCTCACTACTCCAAGGGATCAATTTCAGTTCACAATTGATCATAATGAAAGGACTAAGAATCAAAGGGAGCACATAAACAAGTCTAGTATCTGCTAACACCAACCGATAGAATAAATAAAGGGGAGAGTGATCCAACATGGGAAGTGAGATACTCAGCAGACTCATAGAATGGCGGATGTCCTAAATAGCACTCTGGCCTCAGAATCAGCCCTAAAGGCACTCGGATCTGGCTGAAAAGCCCATGAGAGTATTTCAGGCATGGAAAGCCAAGACACTCTGGCAAAAAGATCTCTGTGAGTGAGATCCCAGTGGAAAGAACAGGTCTTCAAAGAGGGAGGTGCCTTTCTCTGAAGGGAGGAGAGAACCTCCACTTTGACTATGACCGTGTCTAAACAAGATAAGAGTCGGAGAACTCAAGGGGCTTCCATAGCCTTGGAAACTCATAACTGGTGCATAGGGAGATTACTGATGCCATAAACAGGAGTGTCAATTGGTAAAGTCAACAACAGGAGTCACTGTACACTTACTCCTCATGTAGGATCTCTGTCCTTAACGTGCTGTACACTGAGGCTTAATGCTATAACGAGTACTCAAACAGTATATTTCACTTTGTGTTTCTATGGGGGTGCAAACGACTGAAATCTTTACTTAATGTACACTAAACTGATCTTCTGTAAAAAAAAAAAAAAAAAAAAAAAAAGAAAGAAATTATCAATTCCCAACTTGACTCTCACTGGGATTAAACATGACAATAGGTCTGATCTGATTTCATCATCATTTAAAAAAAATCATCTATTATTTTTCACTTTATGTTTCTGTGTGGGAGCAAACTGTTGAAATCCTTACTTAAGGTATACTAAGCTGATCTTCTGTATATTAAGATAATCGAAAATGAATCTTGATGTGAATGGAAGGGGAGAGGGAGTGGGAAAGGGGAGGGTTGTGGGTGGGAGGGACGGTATGGGGGGGGGGAAGCCATTGTAACCCATCAGTCGTACTTTGGAAATTTATAGTCATTAAATAAAAGATAAAAAAAAAATGTTAGGCAGGCGTTGATGACGTCATGCATAATTCATAAGGAGGCGTGGTCCTCCTACATCCTGGTCACCGAATCCAACAAACATATTGCTCAGCTTCCGGTTTGGCGGTCGCCATCTTTCTTCAGCGCCTAGTGAAGGAGGACAACAATTTCAACGGCTTTGGGAGTGGAAGGCGACAGCCCCAAGTCTAGCTGGTCAAGCCAGCAGGGAGCAGTAGGGAGACGGCGGCAGCGTGTGACTGACCTTGGCTCGTTGAGGTGTCCACCACAGCGGAAGAATCAGAAAACGGCATCTGGTAACTTACAGCCTTTCTTGCTTTATCACTGCTAGTAGATGTGTTGGGGCATTGAAAGGGCCTGCGTAGTCGCTGAGCCGGGCTGTTGTGGCGCAAACGCTTTTTTGAGGGCAGGTTGGAAAGCGAGAATCGGGAGGGAGTGGAGGACAGCGTGGAGAGGGGGCTTACAAGCAGAAACAGTGGGAGTAGAGGAATTAGAAGATGCAGAGGGAAGCGAGGAGGGAAATGACGAGTAGAACAGGCGGCAGGGAATGGGGGAGGAGAGGCAGGGAGGCGTGCCCACAGAGGTGGGGGAGAGGAAGTTCAGTTTGGAAAGGAGGAACAGAGCCTGGAAATGCAGACTGGGGGAGGGGAAAAGGAAAGCAGGTTTTGGAGAGGGGGCGCCCAAACACAACTGATTCTGGGATTTAGCTGACACGCATTTAATCAACCCACATACCAGGGCTCATGTTTTAGTGTATCAGGCTTTACTGCTCTGAGCCTGGAACCATATTCTGCCGGTCCTAGCGTCTGATATCTGAATGTTTCCTGTAGCGTTTCACTTTTGAATCTTCGTGGTCTTTACTTCCTCTGTAGGGTCTTTAAAATCCTTAGGCGCCCTGACCCTCCCGTATTTGTCCCACAGCTTCTAACAGAGACCAAATTCTAAGGAAGATTAGTTTGCTTTTTAGCTTCCCCCCAATGTAGAACTTTATATGACATTTTCCTTCAGATATATCTCTTCCCTTGCTGTTTGACCCCCAGATTAACTTAGGAGCTAAAGCAGGACCAGGCTCTGTGGCAGACCGTATTTACTTTGCCTCTGAGATCTCATTTTTGGTTGTACTTTCTGTGTAGCCCAGAAATTCTATTTGGATCGTTTAAATTAGTTTTTAGAAAGTTGTCAAATCCAAAATCTGCCTTTGGAGACTTCCATGAACTGACCGTTAGGAAGACCCCTACACCCAATATTGGCCCCACCTCCACAATGCAAATTACATCACCTTCCAATGGAAACTCTTCTTCACTAGCCATTTAGAGGCACACTTCCAGGATATACTTTTATGGAATACTATTCTCCGCAGGGTGTCAGAATTCTTTTCAGAAAACTCTCAGTGTCTCCCCTAAGATGTACCCCAAAGACCGTACATCAAAGAAATACATGTTTGGACTCATAGTTATCAGAAGTCTATACCATTCCCACTAGTATTTTTCCCTCACAGATCCTATCAAATTTGTTATTAATTGTGAGACCCCCCCCCCCTTCAGCTCCCCTGCTGGATGTCCACCTGTGTTCTCTTTTTTTTTTTTTTTTTTAATTTTTTTGACAGGCAGAGTGGACAGTGAGAAAGAGAGACAGAGAGAAAGGTCTTCCTTTGCCGTTGGTTCACCCTCCAAGGGCCGCCGCGGCCGCTGCGCTGCAACCGGCGCACCGCGCTGATCCGATGGCAGGAGCCAGGAGCCAGGTGCTTTTCCTGGTCTCCCATGGGGTGCAGGGCCCAAGCACCTGGGCCATCCTCCACTGCACTCCCTGGCCACACGCAGAGAGCTGGCCTGGAAGAGGGGCAACCGGGACAGAATCCGGCACCCCGACCGGGACTAGAACCCGGTGTGCCGGCGCCGCTAGGCGGAGGATTAGCCTAGTGAGCCGCGGCGCCGGCCTCACCTGTGTTCTCTTAAAAGGGTGTAGAAGCTGGTACCTGCAAAGCTGGCATCCCCTGTGCATGCTTGTCCATGTGCAGGTTGCTGCACTTCAAATCCAGCTCCCTGTTAATGGCCTTGGAGAAGCAGGAGATGGTAGCGCAAGTGTTTGGGCCCCAGCTACAATATGGGAGAAATGGATAAAGCTCCTGGCTTTGTGCTAGCCCCGTTCCCATTGGGGCATGAGGGGAGTGAGCCAGCAGATGGAGAATGTGTCTGTCTCTCTCCCTGTCTCCCCTGCTTATAAGTATGATTTTCAAGTGAATAAATAAAATAAATAAATAAATCGCTTTAAAAATCAGAGTTTAAAATTATGTTTCTGGGGCCGGCGCCGCAGCTCACTAGGCTAATCCTCCGCCTAGCGGCGCCGGCACACCGGGTTCTAGTCCCGGTTGGGGCGCCGGATTCTGTCCCGGTTGCCCCTCTTCCAGGCCAGCTCTCTGCTGTGGCCCGGGAGTGCAGTGGAGGATGGCCCAGGTGCTTGGGCCCTGCACCCCATGGGAGACCAGGAAAAGCACCTGGCTCCTGGCTCCTGCCATCGGATCAGCGCGGTGCGCCGGCCGCAGCGCGCTGGCCGCGGCGGCCATTGGAGGGTGAACCAACGGCAAAGGAAGACCTTTCTCTCTCTCTCTCTCACTGTCCACTCTGCCTGTCAAAAAAATAAAAAAAAATAAAAAAAAAATTATGTTTCTGGTCAGCATGTGAGACAATTATTAGTTGCTACTTGGGATACCCAAATTCCTTAGTAGAGTGCCTGTTTGAAATCCTGGTCATTGTGATTGCAATTCAGCCTCCTGGCTTTGGCATGGCACATCTCTGGCTGTTTTGGGGATTTGGGAAGGGAACCACTGGAAGGGAGATATCTCACATTCATGAGACTCATTTTCTATGTTTCTCTTTCACTGACATTCAAATAAAATTTGTAAAAACAATTTAAAAAAGTCAAAATGGGGTTCAGTATTACTGAGTGGTGAAACTGAGCCTCACTTTTTTTTTTAAGATTTTTATTTATTTATTTGGCAGGTAGAGTTACAGACAGTGAGAGAGACAGAGAGAGACAGAGAGAAAGGTCTTCCTTCCGTTGGTTCACTCCCCAAACGGCCGCAACAGCCGACGCTGCGCAGATCCGAAGCCAGGAGCCAGGTGCTTCTCCTGGTCTCCCATGTGGGCGCAGGGGCCCAAGCACTTGGGCCATCCTCCACTGGCCTCCGGGGCCACAGCAGAGAGCTGAACTGGAGGAAGAGCAAGTGGGACCAGAACCTGGCGCCCGCATGAGATGCTGGTGCTGCAGGTGGAGGATTAACCTAGTGCGCCACCATGCAGGCCCCTGAGCCTCACTTTCCATCTAGCAAGTTTGAATCTAATAATTTGGGCCCTACACTGTTTAAACTCAGCCTCAGTTTTCCTTCAGGATAACCTCAGTAGCGTGTCCTGTGTTTCTTTAAAGATGGTATATTAATACTAAAGCTCTGTTCTTTCCCAGAATTGCTTCTGACAAAAAATCCCATCCTTAAGTACCTTATGTTTTATGCTGGCTTTCTGGTAGATGTCTAGCTCACTCTCATCTAAGAAACGCCGTGTTTCTGGGCCTGATTCAACACTAGAGTCTCACTGTTTCCCTACCTACCCTGTGACGTTGGAAGTGCCCTCAGAACCAACCAACGTAAGTGTTTTCTCCATGGAAATCTGAGAAGTGGGTATGTAGCATGATCTGAAGAAAGTGCCTTTATCCATCTCTCCATGTTCCATTAATGCCTGTTTTCCCAACTCTGTTTTTCTCTCCTCCATCCATAGGGAATGCAGAAAAGTATTGAAACAGACATAGATGAAGGTCTTTACTCCCGCCAGCTGTAAGTGGGTCCAGAGCTAATGATGAGTGTTGAAAATAGGTGCAGCAAGATTATGGTTTGACCCAGAGGCCTCTCTGAATCTGGCAGGTATGTGCTGGGTCATGAAGCAATGAAGCGTCTTCAGACATCCAGTGTGCTAGTGTCAGGCCTGCAGGGCCTGGGTGTTGAGATCGCCAAGAACATCATCCTTGGTGGGGTGAAAGCTGTTACCCTGCATGACCAGGGCACTGCCCAGTGGGCTGATCTCTCTTCTCAGGTACCTCATTTCTGCTTTCTTAACCATTGGAAAGACAAACTCCTTAGACTCCTCATGTAGTTCAGTTCTCTTTTTAATACTGTAGTACTACCTACGGGAAGAAGATATTGGTAAAAACCGAGCTGAAGTATCCCAACCCCGCCTTGCTGAACTCAACAGCTACGTGCCTGTCAGCACCTATACAGGACCGCTGTTTGTTGAGGACTTCCTTAGAGATTTCCAGGTAATATGCAGGCCTTTATCTTTTTTCCAGATGTTAGTTCTGATTCCTTTAGTAAATATTTACCTAGCAGGGTGACCTGGTATCTTAGGTTTATTGCTTAGGTTTATTGCAAAGAGAAGCCGAGCTGTCCTTTTTCATCTATTTAAAGGAAGATATGGCCATACATTGTGGTACGTGGATTATTGTAGTAGAACTTTGTAGTTCAACTGCTACTGTTTAAGTCTTGAACTCTTCTAGTGTATGGTCTATTTTTTTTTATTTTTATTTATTTATTTATTTATTTTGACAGGCAGAGTGGACAGTGAGAGAGAGAGACAAAGACAAAAGTCTTCCTTTTGCAGTTGGTTCACCCTCCAATGGCCGCCGCGGCTGGTGCTCTGTGGCCGGCACACCGTGCTGATCCGATGGCAGGAGCCAGGTACTTCTCCTGGTCTCCCATGGGGTGCAGGGCCCAAGCACTTGGGCCATCCTCCACTGCACTCCCAGGCCATAGCAGAGAGCTGGCCTGGAAGAGGGGCAACCGGGACAGAATCTGGTGCCCCGACCGGAACTAGAACCCGGTGTGCCGGCGCTGCAAGGCAGAGGATTAGCCTAGTGAGCCGCAGCGCCAGCCTAGAGTATGGTCTAGAGAAAGTCATTTGACTTCTTCTGCCTTATTATTTCCTGTGAATACACAGAAATGTGGGCCTTACAGAGTATTTATGAGACTTAGGCTTAATAGTGCGCCTAATTTTTAGTAAAATTAAATAGCTGATTTTCTATACTAGAGGACTAGGGCACAAGGATCCCTGATGTAGGAGTTGGAATTTATCCTGGTGAATAAATGATGGCAATAAAAAACAAATCCTATAGATTGTGGCTGAATAAGTATTTTAAGAATTCATTTATTTGTTTGAAAGGCAGAGTTACAGAGAGAGAGGGACACACAGAGAGGTTATCCATCCACTAATTCACTCCCCCGATGGCTTAAGCTGCCAAAGCTGGGCTGATCCAAAACCAGAAGCCAGGAGTTTCATCCAGGTCTCCCGTGTGGGTATGGGGCCCATGCACTCGAGCTATATTCCACCTCTTTTCCAGGCCGTAGCCTGGGAGCTGGATTAGAAGTGTAGCAGCTAGGATTCGTACTGTGCCCATATGGGATTCCAGCACCACAGGCATAGGCTTAACCTACAACACCACAGGCAGTGGCCCCTACAACTATTTTCTTAAGTATTGGAGCAATAGGGTTTGGTGGAGATAAACGCAAGATGTTTTCACTGGAATAGTGTTGTTGCTTTTTTTTTTTTTTTTTTGACCCCTCAAGCACAAAAAAATACAGGCAGTAGTGAGTATTAGTTAAAGAAATGAAATAGTTGTTCATCAGATTCTTTACAGGTCATCTTTGATTTTTTGTCATAGTCTCTGAGAGTTCATATTGTTTCACCAGTTCTTACCCTCCCGAATCTGACACACACAGGAAGTATACAACAGTTTGAGGAAGAGAGTTTAACCAGAGGAAAACTTAGTGCTTATTCTCTCTGTTACTTACAGTGTCAGGTTTTTAGCCCAGTCCTATGATTTTTTACAGGTAGTGGTCCTTACTAACACTCCCTTGGAGGATCAGCTGCAGGTGGGTGAGTTCTGCCACAACCATGGCATCAAGCTTGTGGTAGCAGACACACGTGGCCTGTTTGGGTGAGTTTTTATCTTTCCTTCCTTCCTCCAACACTTGCCAGACTCACACTGGGAGGCGTGTATTGCCTTCAGATTCCATTTAGACATCTGAATTTTCAGTTTCACATATTCATTCTCCCAGTATGGCATGATTCGGTGCCACCTAATTGTCACCAGTGTACCGAGTTTGCTTGGCCAGTACTTACTGTATATTGAAGAACCTGCAGTGTCTGTTTTCGTGGGTGTCATGCACCAGTCCTTTTGGTTCCCTCTACAGGCAGCTGTTCTGTGACTTTGGAAAGGAAATGATTGTTAGGGATTCTAATGGGGAGCAGCCACTCAGTGCTATGGTTTCTATGGTCACGAAGGTAAGGAGACCAATCCTAGGGGTTCCAGAATAAGCAGGACGGTACCAAATCATTCTTTGTGCTGGCAGTTGAGCCTGCTTCTGAAGTTTAACTCTTTCTCCATATAGGACAACCCTGGGATTGTTACATGCCTGGATGAGACCCGACATGGATTTGAGAGTGGAGACTTTGTCTCCTTCACGGAAGTTCAGGGCATGAGTGAACTGAATGGCATTCATCCTGTTGAGATCAAAGTTCTGGGTATGTCATAGCCATCACAGGGGTGGGCCACAAGTGAGAAGTGGTTGCTTGGAACAAAGGGAAAGTAGGTGAGCCAATGCAAAAGCTATGTAGTAACATGTCTGCACTTCAAACTAAAATAAAAGCCAAGAATGAGTCTGGAATCTTAGCTGGGACTTAGAGAGGTGTCTGTGAGATCATAGAAAAAGGAAGTTATAAAGTTACCGAGAGACTTTGGAGTGCATGCCACTAGTGTTTGATTCCATTTGCTTTTAAATTGTTGACTTTAAATTTGTAGTATATCCTTAATATGTGCTTAGTGTAGCTTACGATATTTTGTTGATTCACAGAACCTTAAAATACTTTCATTTTTATCATCTTTGTATCAAATATTTTTGTTTATATGTACCATAAACTTTGCAATACATTATTTACAAAGAAATATAATGAATAAAATCACCCAAATTCTCAGAATTTTTAGTTTTCATCCTGCCTGTCTTTGGGCCCATATTTTCATCAGGTAATATTTTCTTTATGCCTAAAGAATGCCTTTTAACATTTATGTGTACGTGATCATTATTTTTCGTGTCAGAAATTGCCATTATCTTAGTTATTTTTTAAAGAATTTTCTTATGAGTTTAAAGTGTACGTTGACAGTCGTTTTGCTTCAACCCAGAACAACTGTTCTGGGTTACTTGACTGCATTGTTTTCCTCAGTAATTCTTGTTCATACTTTTCTTCCCTTTGTAGTATGCCTGTATTTTCTACCACTGATTATAAGCATTATGATGGTAATTTACCTTTATGTGTTTCTTCATGAGTCATTTCCCTGGGACTTGCTGAATTGATCTCTGAGTTTTTTGCTGTGTGCCATGTTTGGAAAAATGCTAGCCTTTTCTGTTTTTCAAAATAATGCTTTCTCACTGCCCTTCATCCATCATCCCATTTTAAAAAAATATGTATGAGCCAGCACCACGGCTCAATAGGCTAATCCTCCGCCTTGTGGCACCGGCACACGGGGTTCTAGTCCCGGTCGGGGCACCGGATTCTGTCCCGGTTGCCCCTCTTCCAGGCCAGCTCTCTGCTATGGCCCGGGAGTGCAGTGGAGGATGGCCCAAGTGCTTGGGCCCTGCACCCCATGGGAGAGCAGGATAAGCAGCTGGCTCCTGCCTTCGGATCAGCGCAGTGTGCCGGCCGCAGCAAGCTGGCCACGGCGGCCATTGGAGGGTGAACCAACGGCAAAAGGAAGACTTTTGTCTTTGTCTCTCTCTCTCACTGTCCACTTTGCCTGTAAAAAAATATATGTATGTACTTATTTGAAAGGAAGAGTTACAGAAGGCCATGGGTGGGTGGGTGGGGGCGTCTTCTGTCTGCTGGTTAATGCCCCATATAGCCACAGTGGCCAGAGCTGAGCTGATCCGAAGCCAGGAGCCAGGAGCTTCTTCCAAGTCTCCCACACAGGTGCCAGGGCTGAAGCACTTGTGCCATCTTCCCCTGCTTTGGTCAGGTCATAGAAGAGAGCTGAGTTTGCCACAACACCAGCTCCCCATCATCCCTTCTTAAAGACTTGGATAAAATGTGTATAAGAGCATGTCAGAATCTCATGGTAATTGAAACTAAAATGTTTTTATCTTCAAAGAGCTCTGTAATGCAGTAGGTAATTCTGGTTTTCCAGAAACTTTTAGAAATGCCTTTTTAAACTATCTCATGCTGCACAGTTCACTTATTCTTGGTTTATTCCTTTTCTTTTATTTTACTGTGTCATTTACCAGTCTGTTAGTGGTCTAAATATGATTAATTTTCTCAATAAATTTATTAAAAAAGATTAATGTTAGTGTTATAAATCCTATATATTCACGAAGCTCTAGAAAACAATGAATATGTTGAGACTTGGAAGATACCAAAGAGACATAAATTTCATTTCTACATATGAAAATACTTGTGGCTCAGTACAGTGGAATATGACCAAAAAAAGGTTTCTGAAAGAATTTATGGCCAAAATTTTAAAATTTAATGAATGGTAAGGTCACAGGTCATAAGACTCAGTGAAATTAGGTAACAATGGCATTTGATAAACAGTTGTGAAGATTACATACTTTTGGTAGAATTTTGTATATGTTTATTTCTACAGTAATTTGTAATTTTTATAGAGATAATCTCATTTCCACTGAATCACCTAAGGTGAGCTTTTACATTTAGTGAAAACTTGATGTGATCCTATCATTGAGAAGAAAAAAAAAAAGTTATCCTATCATTGAGGGAAAAAAAAAAACAATCAGTTTTCCTGACTGCTTTTAATTATTTCATTTTAGTTGAAAGCTAAAGACAGGCAGACAGCATCTTTTTTAAGGTTTTATTTAAAGAATGAATTTTTTCACAGAACTTCAGGAATATAATGGTTCTTCTCCCCTATACCCCTGCTTCCCACCCCAACTCCCATCCCGCCACCTCTCTGTCTCCCATCTACTTCTTCATTATGGTTCATTTTTAGTTTGATTTTATATACAGTGGACCAACTCCACGTTAAGCATAGATTTCAACAGGTTGCATCCACACACATACACACAGCATAGAGAGTACAGTTTGAGAAAAGATTTGCAGCCGATTCTCATAGTACAACTCAAAAAGGACAGAGGTCCTACATGGGGATTAAGTGCATAGTGACTTCTGTCGTTCCTTTAACAATTAACACTCTTATTTATGACATCAGTGATCACCTGAAGTTCTTGCCATGGGCTGCCAAGACTATGGAAGCCTTTTGTGACCATAGACTACATCGTTATCTGGACATGGCCATAAGCAAAGTGGATGTTCTCTCATCCCTACATCCTTCTTTGATGGTCCTTTCTTTCCTCTGAGATTTCACAGAGATCCTCCATATAGGATGTTTTTTGCCAAAGTCTTGGCTTTCCATGCCTGAAATTCTCTCACAGGCCTTTCAGCCAGACAAGGGAGCCTTAAGGGTTGATTCTGAGGTCAATGTTATTTACTGTGAATGTCATTCTAGGAGTCTGCTGTGTGAACTGCTTCCCATATTTGCCTTTCTTTCCTTTTTAATTCTATGATTATTACCAGGCACTTGATGTTACAAATATGATCACTTTTACACTTAAACCTATCCATATGTTGACTTTAACATTTAATATGACCACTTTAACAGTAAAGATGGCATTTGTACCACCAATTTTATGTGTTTGGAGTCCCATGTCCATTTTTTAGGCTGTACCCTTGGAGTTAAGTCTGCATGACTGTATGCAGAACTGTACTGCTTTACAATTATAGACTACCTCCTCCCTCTCTTATTCCCTCTCTTGTTTTTAACATGTATCTTTTTCCAATTGAATTAAAATACATATGATTAACTCTTATGTTACATAAAGAGTTCAGTAGATAGTATGAAGAAGAGAAAAGGAAAAGAAAGAAACAGAGGAAAAATACACAAAATAAAAAGTGAAAATAATAAACTCTCCCTCGACAGTCAGGTCAAGGACTATTCAAGTCACTGATTCTAAAAGTGTCATTTTTGCTTCTTTAGCTTTTATTTTAGAAGTTCTGTTCTCCCAAGTAAAGGAGACCATATGGTATTTGTCCCTTTCTTTGGGACTGGGTTATTTCACTAAGTATGAGGTTTCCCAACTTGCTCCATTTTGTTGCAAAGGAACGGATTTCATCCTTTTTTTTTTTTTTTAACTGCCATGCATTCCATAGTGTACATATCCCACAATTTCTTTATGCACACTTTGGTTGATGGACATTTAGGTTGCTTCCATGACATAGCTATGGTGAATTGAGCTGCAATAAACATGGAGGTGCAGATAGCTCTTTGTTTACTGATTTCATGTCCTTGGGTAAACTCCCAGGAGTGGGATGGCTGGGTCATATGGTAGGTCTGTGTTCAGATTTTTGAGGTATCTCCGTACTGTTTTCCACGGTGGCTTTACCAGTTTACATTCCTATTGTTGTTTGTTGATTTCTGTACATGAGCCAATCTAACAGGGTGAGGTGAAACCTCATTATGGTTTTGATTTGCATTTCCTTGACAGCTAGAGATCCTGAACATTTTTTCTTGTGTCTGTTGGCCATTTGATTTTCATATTTTGAAAAATGCCTGTTAAAGTCCTTGGCCCTTCTCTTAACTGTGGTGTTTGTTTTGTTCTTGTGGAGTTTCTTGATCTCTTTGTAGATACTGTTTATTAATTGTTTTTTGGTTGCATAGTCTGCAAATAGTTTCTCCTGTTCTGCACTTTCCTGACTGTTTCTTTGCTGTTCAGAAGCTTCTCAATTTGAGGTAATCTCATTTGTTCATTTTTGCTTTCACTACCTGTGCCTCTGAGGTCTTTTTCAGGAATTCTTTGCCTGATGCAATGTCTTGAAGGGTTTCCCCAGTGTTCTTGATTAATTTTACAGTGTCGTGGCATAGATTTAGATCTTTAATCCATGTCGAGTGGGTTTTTGTGTAGGGTGTAAGGTAGGGGTCTTCATACTTCTGTATGTGGGCATCCAGTTTTCTCAGCACCATTTGTTGAAGACAGTGTCCCTGCACTAGGGGTTAGTTTTAGCTCTTTGTCAAATATCAGTTGGTTGTAGAAGTTTGGATTGATTTCTGGGGTTTCTATTCTGTTGCAATTTTGTCTAGTACCAGGCTGTTTTGATTATAACTACCCTGTAGCATATCTTGATGTCAGGTAGTGTGATGCCTCCAGCTTTGTTTTTGTTGTATAAGATTGCTTTAGCTATTTGAGGTCTCCTGTTCCCCCATTTGATTTCAGCATTATTTTTTCTAGATCTGAGAAGAATGTCTTTGGTATTTTGATTGGTTATCGCATTGAATATATAAATTGCTTTTGGCAGAATGGACATTTTGATGATATTGACTCTTCCAATACGCGAGAATGGCAGATTTTTCCTTTTTTTATATCTTCTTCTATTTTGTTCTTTAATGTTTTGTAATTCTCATTGTAGAGATCTTTGAAATACTTGGTTAAATTTATTCCAAGGTACTTGATTGCTTTTGTAGGGTT